TTTGTCACTGATTCATTATTGATTGACCAATAATGGTCAGCTCCAACATTTATCAATAAATCCAGGCAGCACTTTAGACAAACAAGGGAGAGGTCAAAGCTGGTTAGCTGCTATAATTTCAAAAGAACCAATGGGAAACCTACCCACTAATGAAGAAGCGTTATGTTTACAACCAAGTAGTGTTGCCAAGGGTTTTGTTTACCATTACACAATAGATTAGAGCGCTTAGATGACAAGCAATGGCTATCTACAAAGATGAAGCAGAGCAAAACAACACCAACATGTTGTGAGTGAATGTTTGATTCCACCTAATGCTGAATTAATGTCTGTAGCTTTTCTGATGCCTGCTCCTTGGTTTCCTCTCAGATTTCTTTATCTCTCCTCCACACTTTTATTTTCTCTGCTTTTACTTTCCTCCTCTTTCTGTTTATACTTTTACCCTCTCATGTGTAATCCAGTTTGAGCGGGTTCTTGTCTGCAATCTGTCACAGATGGAGTACGGTCCTGATGTTATCATGTCCATCAGCAGTCGATTTCCTGAGAGGAAGGCTTGTGTGTGTGTGTGTGTGTGTGTGTGTGTGTGTGTGTGTGTGTGTGTGTGTGTGTGTGTGTGTGTGTGTGTGTGTGTGTGTGTGTGTGTGTGTTGTTTCTTATTTGTGTGATAAAACATAAGAAATATTGTTGTGCACTGAATGCCACTACCTTAATAGAGTATGTCATTGATCATGGAAACACTGTATGCCGTAGAAAGAACGGAATACATGTAGAATAATAAACTCCCTTTTAGACAGCAAAGTAAACAAATAAAACACAATGTGATAAGCCTTCTTTTTATTTGACTTGACTTTGGGAGCACAGTTTAAGTGATAAAGCATGCGGTATATTCAACATGACAGTAAGTCCTCCTGCCCTACCACCATATCTCTGTGATAACACACCATGTGTGCATCAAGTGTGTTTGAGAAGAGACATGGGGTTAAGTTATCCGAGCAAGTTCTTATTATTATGACAGAAATGCGAACTCATGGGATAGTTGTTGGTACCAGGCTGTTAACACTGACCTACATGGTAACACTGATGCAGAAACACTGAGCAGCTCACGGTGCATATGGATCACAAACGAGTCGCGTTATGTTTGAGATTCAGGGCCCGGGCTATCTTATTGTCAGTTGAAGATTTACAGTATATGTTGAGGATGAGGAAGAGTAATGTATGATGTCTTTGTCGTAGTGAACACTTTGTATTATTTCCTGTTGCTGTGGTCAGTCTGCCAGGTTGAACCAGTCCTCAGGTTCGTGATCTGGGTGTCAGTGAAGTGGTTGTAGCAGCCTTCCTTTTTTCTATCTCTATCATTAGACATTGTGTGTTTGGTTGCAATCTCAGTATCTCCGCAAGGAATATGTGTGGAGGGGATCATGTGTTTTCTCATCATATTATGAGAAGTTTCATTCAAATAGTACTGACTGTGTTTTACCGTCATTGATGGCTCACTCACTGAACTCTCCAGATGTTTCAGCCAGAGATAAAAAAACAGTTTCAGTTCAGTTTGGTATATTACTGAACTGTTTCCAGATCCGTGTGATTGTGTCTCAATGTATGCATCAGTGTTTAAAGCTCCAGCAGGCCCTGTCCATGGTGCTGAGGGTCTGTGTTTTGGATGACACGTTGAATATTTATACATCTTGAACCAAACCTGGAATCTGCCAAAGCCACCGACTTCGTTTTACACACCTCTCTAATCTTTCAGTAAACCTGTACATCAACCTGTGCGGCAGGAACCAGATGCAGACCCTCAGACTGAAACCACTAAAGTTGCTCTCTGTCTAACCACATAGACTGATAAAGCTGCTTGGGAGACAATATAATGCGATGGCCAACCTTTCAGTCATCATTGCTGCCAGGCTGCATGGCGTTCATTGTCTGCAGATGCAGATCTTCAGTGCTAGAGAGAAAGTAGAAAGGCCCCTGGGGCCATGTCAAGCTAATGATGGCAGCCAGAGGAAATTGGATCGACTTACGTCCCTTCAGGCACAGTTTTAGAAAATCCTAATCAATGTAGAAAGACAAGGAGTGCTAAGCTTTCCCAACCAATTAGATTTGGCCATGCAGCTAATTACAATTCATTGAAAACACATAGAAATCCCCTCTTTCAGACAACAGTCTTTAAAGTCGTTCTTTATCTCAAGAAATGTCAGGAACTAGACGGGGTGACGGTGGGAAAAGTTGGTTATAATAATATCAGGGAAACACACACAAATGGGATTATTTCTACATCAGAGTTTTATACAATCTTTGACAATGACTGGCTGATTATCTCGTTAGATAAAGAGTGTGTATCAATTTAAGAGTAATAATAGTTCACAGACATATTTTTGTCAAACAGAGACTGACCATGTATTTCAGCAGTCCAAGTCTCATTTTAAAAAGAGTAATACAAAAAAATCGTTGATACAATATAATACTTTAATACTAATTCACTCACTTACAATTTACTAACTGTTCATCTTGAAGACCTGAGTTAATCTGGCAATTTAAAGGTAGGGTAGGTCAGAATGGAGAAACCAGCTCGAGTGCGCTAGAATTTGAAAGTACGCAGCCGAAAAAAATCTGCCCCTTCCTTCAGACTTCCTTACAGAGCCCCTCCTCCAACACACACGAACGCGCACATAACCAATGAGGGCACGAGGTAAGTTTGTGCACAGATGGAAGGCTGACAGGCAGGTAGGCCATCCAGTTATTTTTGCCGGGCCAGCTCAGATGATTGGTCGTCCTTTTTACAGCGCCACAGCTTCCACAGTTGTATTTATTGTCAAAGCATTTAATATATTCATTGCTATCGGGATGTGAAGAGCATTCCATGGAATATAACAAAAAGTGTTTCTGAAGTGAATTACCTATACCCCACCTTTTAACGTATATCTTCCAGCTAAGTTTTTCATTTGTTTTGCTTATCCTGAGATTCATATGGTGCATTTAAGACAAAGTGTCCTCGTTCTGACATGGGAGATTGGTGACACTATTAATAAATGTTTTTCTACATTTTGGGAGCTATATTTATTAGATGTTTAAAGTCTGACACCTAGAGGGAGATCACATATATCAGTTCATCTAGACTAGAGGCTGAAAACATTTATTGCCGTTGCAGAATGTTGGAGGTATAGTAATGCCGCCATCTAGTGGGTGACATTCATAATCGCAAGTCAGAGAAGTACATATTGCAAATGTGAAAACACAATCTTTAGTCATTCAGGTGAAAGACTCATCTTGTGGTATTACATATTTTCTAGTGCCTTATATTGACATATTAGCGCCAGCATTAGCCAAAAAAAGTGTTTGTGTCCTATTTGTACCTCACACTCAAAGGCGGAACAAACTAAACAAAAGATCTTTAAAATGTAAATCTGTTGGTGAACAAGTAGCCCACATATAAACCTGTCATCTTTAGCCTCAGCCATATTTTTGTTGAACTTAGGAAATGTACGGGGTCTTTTCTGCAACCAATCTTTTTTGAGGGTTTGTGAAAGGCATTGCCTCACCTCAAATGACCTTTAAACACAGCAGATAAGAGTTGATGCAGGAACAGTCTAGGACAAAAGCAAGCAGCTTCCATAGTCGTGTGTTCTCACCTCAGTACCTTCCCAAGACCTCTCTTTCTTTGCTGTCAACACGCTGACCTTGGTGGGCCTCATGTTTTCCTGGGACCTGCCCCTCCTGCCTGCATGCTTTCCACAAGACTGAGTAATCGTGGTGGAAGAAAAGCATGTGTCAGGTCCTGCCTGCCTGCTGCTCACTGACCCTCACTTGTACACAGCACTGCATGAGTCAGTTCATCTGGAAAATAACCTTATAAGGCTGATGGCATGTCATCTGTATTACTTTGCCAAGGCAGCAAGTCAGTCAGGAATAAGAGTGTCTGGAGGGAGGAAAGAAAGGCAATTTGTTTTATTATGGGACAGAGCTGTAAAGTACAAAGGTACCAATTCTTGAAGAACACAATGCACTGTGAGATAATGATTATGTGTTACGGCATGAAATGTTTCCCCTTAAAACCAAGATGTATCATGTAAACACATTCCTACATAACAATGTCTCAAATGGCAATGTCTGCATTCCATAAAACAATTATCTCGTATTAGATTTTTGTAGTCGACACCATAGATTACCCATGTCAGAAAGATCAGATGTCTCTTGTTTAGCCTTGTTTGCCTGGTACATATTTTTTGTCGAATGGAGGGTTTCTAAATTAAGGTGAACACAAACACTCAAGAAACACCAACAGTTTACAAAGTCTCTGCATTTCAAACAGAGCAGTAGCTAGATGTAAATCTGTCTAAACAGGACCTTTAATTACAGCCTTACTTGAGAGTCTTTGATCTGTGTCTTTTATGGTTTAAGTAGCTACTATTCGTGGAAAGAGGAGGGCAAACTCTACCTCCTCTGTGAGTGATGTCACCGTAATTCACTGCAGATATTTTCCTCACAACTTCAACAGCTGGAAGTTGATGATACATTATATACAATATGTGTTTATTGACATACGATGAATGATTACACAACTATTGGGATAAAGCCATGTTTTGAATTCTGATTGACTTTGGGCTCAAAGGTTAAAATGACATGCAACTGTTGGAACAGGGGGTGGGATTATTTCTTTTATTTTTCCACTGTTAGTTTGATTATTTTCCAAACTGCCACGTTGCTGCCTGTGTGTTTTGGGAATGGCCCGCTTCCACAGAGGGCTGTCTGTCTGAACCTTGAACACACAAGGTTCCCTCTGTTAGCTGTCATTAGGACACACGCAGCAGAAAGGGGTCACCCTACCCTCTCACCCTCTCTCTTTCTATGACTCAGGGATGACAACTTCAAACTTTTCAATCAGAGTTGTGCCTCAAAGAGTTACTCCTTCCCTTTAGGGATGGGGAGGCGGGGCTAGTGTCTCTCCAAATGCATCCCTGAGACCTCCATACTCTCTCTGTTCACACCAAAAGCTCAGGAGGGGCTGTCCTGTGGGCGGGGTGTATGATAATAGCCTCTAGAGGAAGTGAGCGCAGTGTAGTGGAATGTAGTTGCCATTAGTGGGAGTTGAACTGAGGCTAACAGCTAGCCTGCTATGTTGAGCTGCTGATCTGGAGACGCAGAGGACAGTGATGAAAACATGCCTCACTTCACTGTGGTACCGGTGAAGGATCATGCTCAGGACAGATATGACAGCCTAGAGGGGATCAACTGGGTGGATTACAGGCACACTGGGCAGGATCATCAGGACACTGTCAGCTCTGATGGTGAGTACATCACTTTTACTCAGTTTTTACCTCTAAGCTTTGACACAACATGACTACTTTTGTTGTTAAAAGTTGATAAAAAATGCCCTGTAAGTAATACTTGATTTTGAGTTTTGCCCAAGCATGGGATAGCCCTGCTTTGTCCACTCTGAACAGCTGATTGTATGGTTACCATGGCAATTCTCCAGAGCCAGAAATCAGTTCTTCCTACATCAGTTTTTGACAGCTCACTTTGAGTAAAGTAAAAACACTACCTATGTCATGTTGGGAGTACTTTTTCCAACATGTAAACATCTTTTTAAATGAAATGCCAGGACATACAGTATGAGTAAGAAAGCCACAACAATGAAAGGGGTGAGAACCGTGGGGGGGGGGACACCACAGGGCTGGGACTGTTTGAGGAGGGCCCCCGGTATCGCCACAACAAGAAAAGGCCTCAAGTGCTTCTTTGCACAAAAGATGGAGCTCGCTTTGTGCCAGGGGAGGGTTTCCTTTCACTAAGATTGGCTGCTCAACAACGTAGGAGCAGATTTCTCCCTCCTCGCTTGTCCTTCTTTGCAGCTTGTCTCTCACTGTCACTCACTTGTTTCTTCAGTGTATAGAGAGAGGAGGGGGTGTAATCCCAGACAGAAGAGAAAGGGAGGACAGAGGGAAGACAAGGAAACAAGGAGTGAAGGCTTTGTAGCCGCTGGGTAGGATTAACAGAGAGCAGCACTGATTTGTGTGGGCTGGGAGTGAATCAACGACGGGAACAACGTTTTTTAATAAAAGACACACATGGGTGCGGCCGTCCAATGAAGCACCCACGCTTTGCTGAGTGCCCAGAAGGCCATGCTGGGATGAAACCCACACACTGACTGGTCACTCACTTATACTACCTTAACACGTCATGCTGACTGTGAGCTCCCTACAACAGAATAACACAGGAAGTGACCAGGATTCAAGGCTTACGACTCATACAAGTAGTTGTTACTGTGTGAATGAGTTTGAGAGACATTATGTGTACAGGGATGGGATCTGTGTCTGTGTGGGTAATAATGATTGCACGTGGAAGCGTTTGTAAGAAAACTAGCCATGCAGATGAGGAGATCTAAGTTACGTGAGCCACCCGGATCAGATACACTGGTGTTTGAAGCGTATCAAGAAGGAGTCGAATCACATGTTGAACTAGCTGTCTGTGTGTTTATTGCTGGAATGCATGGAAGTTACCCTTCAGAGGCAAATCTCAAACAGCAGGAACTCAAGATAGTAGCCTGGTGTTAAAAACTGTGATTTAAGTCTTAAAAAGTAGTGGAATGAATGTTGTGTAAGCAGGACTCTGTAGAAGGAAAAGCAGATGTCCTGAAATAACCCCCTGTTTTATGGTTGCGTTTCGCACTTACTTGTTGCTGCCTCCCTCGTCTTCCTGCTGTCATAATTCTCTTTAAACCAACCGAGGAGAGCTTCCTGAGAACAACATCAACAACTATTAAACGTAGTGGGTAGCTAAGAGGATGAGTATATGTTGGACAGTTTGAGCAACAGGAGGAGGAGAAGAACAGGGAAGTGAGACTGTGAGGAATGATGAGATGGAGCAAATGTTACACAGTTTGTTAGCATTAAGTTCAAAACACACAAATAAACAGAAACAGCTACTCAAGTCATTTATTTTTTATTTTTATAAGATTGTTATACCAGACCTTTTTGTCGGCACAATTTAAAAAAGAAATTGGTTTTAGTTTTGAGTGACAAGTGCAGAAACATTAGTAGAACTTGGTAAGACTTACTTTTAATTGTATTCTTGTAGCAAGTACACATGTTTAGTATTTTTCCAACTTGAGTTCAACATGCAGCATTATGAAATATTCAGGCAGTTAAAAGTTGGGTGGGATTGTTTTTGCTGTGGTATTACCATCTTAAAGAGCCTGCGTGTTCTGGATGATTTCACCATGGGAGTGGTGGGCTTGGGTTTGGGTCTCCAGTGTGACGTCTGCAGCTCGGAGGAAGTGACACAGTGCGAGTCTGTTTCTGCCTGAGAGCTGGGCTCTGTTCAGCAGGACAGGATCAACACTGTGCTCATTGTAGCTGTGGCCTCCTGAGCAGAGCAGCTAGGAAAGTTTGTTGCTGAGACTTCTGAGTTTTTTTAAAGGCTGCATATTGGATTGTTGTTTGTTTGGAACATGACCTTTCCCAAGCCGAAATTGCCTCCAGTCGTTTTACCAAGAGCTGGTTGATATCTTGTTAGCTTCATTTGCTCATCTTGTTAACGAATATAGTCTTTTAAAGTCTATAAAAGTTTCTGTTGTGATGAGTGCTTTTGCTTTTTCGCCTTGGAAAGAATTGAAAGAAATGTGGAAACAAATTTGTGGCAAATTAATGATTTAATAATCTCACAAACATAGTGTTTAAAAAGAGAGAAATTAAAAGTAGGTGAGCAAGAGACACACGTTTCTCTTCTTCAGCACTGCCTGTAAAACTGTACAGTTTCCAGTCTGAGATGATGTGAAATAAAATCCCATGAACTAAATATAGCTAACTTGTTAGAGAAAGTACTGTTAATATAACAAATTACATTGAAATACAATGTATATACCTACATTTAACTTGTATTCCCTCTATGATTATAACAGAGTCATTGTTTTGATAAGTTAATAAGCATTTTCTTTCCTTCATTGTTATTGTAAAAAGAAAGAATGTGCAGCTGTCAAAATACTGTACTGTAACCATGTTGTGCAAGTATGTCTCTGGCTTTTATTGGCCTCAAACAAAACAGGTGCTGAGAAACCTAATAAGTGGCTGAATTGAAGATTGTTGTTTGGATACCCCTTATCTAATGAAAGATATCCCTGTCCTCCTGTCTGGGGAACTACTCGGATAAACTTAAAAAGATAAACGCACTGTGTGGAGCTGATGACAAAGTTGGAACAAATTCAGATAACCACACAGTTTTTGACACAGCCCTTCACAACTATAAGTTTACGCCTTTGAAATACTTGTCAGAGATGTTAAAGAAGATTGTTCTTTAAATAACGGATTTGACACGCATCATTTCCTATGATACACTATCTCACCATCCAACCATCTGCCATCTCTGTTCCATCTGCTCATTCACATCAAAGTGACAACTGCAGAGCAGCAGACAATGTTTTCCAAAGAGTATCTCAAGTCATTCCTAAGGATCTCCTATCAAGCAAAGGCTTTCAGTGTTTTCCTCTACCCTATACAGAGGTCTTCTTCACTGTCTCACTTTAACACCAAACAGATCAGGGCAAAAATAGATACAGTATGAAAGCATAGAGTGTCTGAAGGATTCACACTGTGGCTTTCTGTGGTGCAAGTGATGGACATTATCAGGATCCAGTACATGAGAAATGTTCAGACAATTCGGTTGAACAGATAAGATAAGGAAAATGTTTTTTTCGTGATTGCAGGCAAATTCTAGCTATTCAAATTAAGCAGGCTTGTGTCTATTTCCAAACAGGTTTGTTAGCAGATCTGACAAGGGCAACATTAAAGAAGAAGTTACTTCAAGAAAAGCAGCAACTATCATGATTTTAGTTTTTGTGTTAATAGTTTCTTGTTTTATTTTGAAATGTTTTCCCTCTTTGTGTTTTTTATTGTTTTACTTCCTGTCTTTTAAGTAAACCCCTGGGTGTTTCTCAATGTCTAGGACGCTTCCTTGGTAGGACAAGTCCCTCCGAGTCAGGGGGTGTTTCTCAATGTCGAGGACGCTTCCTTGGTAGGACAAGTCCCTCCGAGTCAGGGGGTGTTTCTCAATGTCGAGGACGCTTCCTTGGTAGGACAAGTCCCTCCGAGTTAGGCGGTGTTTCTCAATGTCAAGTCCCTCCGAGTCAGTTCCTTCAGAAGCGATGCAAGAATCATTCCCGGAAAACGAAGAATGGTGGAACAGGGTGTTTCTCAATGTCGAGGACGCTTCCTTGGTAGCACATGTCTTCCGAGTCACTTGCTTCTGAAGCGAGGCAAGAATCCTTCCTAGCCTCGGAAAATGAAGAATTGTGGAACAGACTAACAGGTGTGCGTCATATGCGATTTACCGCCTTAAATGGAGGGCGATTTCCGCCATCGAGGAAATTGGTCCGTGCGCAAGACGCGGAGGATACACATGTGCAGCCTCGACATTTCTCGCAACGAAGGACGCCGGCCTCGGTAGAATTCCAAGCATCCTTGACATTGGAAAAGTCCTTCGGCGGGACTCGATGACGTAGCATCCTTGAAATAGTGGCTCTGGAGCATCCTTCCTCGACATTGAGAAACACCCACTGATTGTCTGATTTTGTTCACCTCCAGCTGTATCTTGTCTTTCTGATTAGTCTTGTGAGTATAGTCTTGTCATCCCTTGTCAGTTTGTCGTTGTTCCCATAATTGTCCCTGTTGGATTTTTCCAGATCCTACCGGTTGGTAAATGTTTAGTTTTTATCAGCTTCTCTTTGTTATCAGCTTTTTTTTCCAATTTAAACTCACTTTTTGTTGAGAATACTTGATTTCTTATTTTATACTGCTCTTGGGTCGACCTTCCTGCCTAAGCACGACAGCAACAGGAGCTTCTTCATTGCATTCCTAAGAGCCGGCATCTAAATTGTATATTACTTTGTCCTTCTTGAGTTTTATTTTTAGACATAAAAGTAGGAGTAAATGAGATATGACTATGAGAACAGTCTTGGCTGGACGTCCTATAGTAATACATAGTAACTTTGTTTTCATTAGCTACAATGGGACTCAAACCCCAGTCTTAAAAATTGTGTCTGATTTATTTTGAACAAGGATAACACATATATTTACTTAACACCCAAGATATTTCTGAAGGCAGTTTTTTCGTTCACTTTCTATCATTTGTTTACGAGCTAAGTGCTGTCAGTCATCAAATTCACTAATACTTCCAACCTCCTCTTTGGACGTCACAGTCTACAGCTTAATGAAGTACTGAATGTACTGAGGGATTAGGATCTTGTTGTTTACCTCCATGGCAGTGTGCTGTTTATGATATTACCAGGACATCATGT